CTAGCCTCCAAAAACTAAGCATCATTGCTCCCCTATGCCCTTCTACCATTATACTAGGACCCGCTGACCAAGTACTGAATCCCCTGAAACCATGAGTTAAAGTAAATCTCTAATCTTTTAAGTTGTGGGTGTCAGATATTGTGGCCCAGCAACAGGAAAGCTAATACAGAAAACTGGTATCAAGACTGCAGTCATTGCTGTGACTGTACCTGACCGCATGGTTTAGAAGCCTTTAGAAATGGTTTACAGGAGTAGTTCAGAAAGGTTTAGAGATGGTGGCTAGAAAAGTTTTAGAATGTTGTAAGCAGAGCCTGATGGCTGGGTCTAGTGGGAGCTGAGAAGACCAGAATACTGATAAAAATGCATACAGTAAAGGATGGGCTCAGGAGATTACAGCTGGGAACAAGTACTCCACTGGCAGGTGGACTAGAGGCCATGTGTGTTATGTCCTAGCAGAAAGTTTATCTATGTTTTATCCATGTCCTGAGACTTTGCAGGCAAGTAATACTAAGGACAGTAAACTGATTAATCCGATGAAGAAATTTTCAAGATAACCCAACATTTAGATTTGGCATGGGTACTGCTAGCTGCTTTTAGCCAGATTTATAGTGAGATTCAGGGTTGAGCAGAGCAGAAAAGTTTGAAAAACTTACATGTGTAAAGTTGGGACTAAAGGAGGTGTACATGCCAAAGACATTACCTGCATTAAAAAGGATCAAGTATCCTGTGTAAGAACAAGAAGATCCCTTGAGGATGTCTCAGAAATCAGCAAGAACCCACACGTCATGGGTTTAAAGGTGCAAAGTATCAACGCTTCATTTCTGAAGAGAGTCCCTAGAGTCCTGCTCAAGAAGGGCCTCCTAGAGGATTGTTTTTCCAGGATTCACTTCACCACACATGCTCACCATCCAGGCACTCCTATGCTGCTGACACCATGGTCCAAGGGGCCCTGCCTACTGCTCCTGCTCACAGCAGACTTAGACATCCACGTTAGGCTGGTTTTAAGGGATGCAGAGTGCAAGAGTTATGTGGTCAGGGAGGTTTCTACCCAGATTTCAAAGAAGGCCTGGGAGACCAGGAAGGATCCGCTGAGGCAGCAGTGCATAAAGTCGAAAGCAAAATGGTAGCCCTGAGAGGTTGAAGATGCCTGTGATGTAGAAAGTGGCTGCCAAGGAAAGCTGCTGGTGGTAAGCAGAGCCAATCCAAGAAAGTAGCCAAGTGGGCTACAACCAAGAAGGCCATGGGAGTGGGGCTGCCCAAACCCTCCAGAACTCACATTTTATGGCCATGTGCCCTGGATGCTGGATATGGGGCTACAGGATTACTTTACTCCAATTCTTTTCTATCCCCCTACTCTTGGAATGGAAATGATTACTTTGAGCCACTGGACCTTAGGATCATGTAATTTGTTTTTTATTCTTACATGCTTCACACTAAAAGTTTGCCTTACGTCTCTAAGGAGACTTTGAGTTGGACTTTTAGCAACATCTGGACTGTTGATACTTTTGGAAAGGATGGCTGCACTTTCAGTTGTATACACGACAGCTATATCATGTACGTTAGGTGAATTATGGACCTGTTAGTACATTGGGAGATTAAGCAGGATTTGAAGAGATGTATTTGAGGTCAAGTTGACAACGGGTAGAATATTGGGGGTTAAGCTTAATGTGTCAACTTGATTAGCTTGGGAGCTGCCCAGGAGATTAAAGCACACATCCTGATGTGTCTGGGTGCATTGTAGAGGTGTGTCTTTTGAGTAGTACCATGGCGCCTGGCCCCTTCCTTTTTTATGTCTTTCTTTTGTTCTGTTTCAGACCTCCATGAATTAAGCATCTTTGCTCCACCATATGCCCTTCCATCATGATTTGCCTGCCTGGGAGCCAGAAGCCCATGGACTGACTCCCCTGACATTGTGAGTTAATAAACCACTTACCCCTTTAAATTATGGATATCAGGCATTGTGCCCCCAGTAAAACTGACCGATAGAGGAATAAACCTGATAAAATGCTCAGGACATTCTAAGTGAAAAAGATGGCAGTAAAAAGAAGAGACACAAAAGTGGGAAGAACTTTTAGAAATGTGTTCTGGCTATTTTTTCTTAAGTCTGTGGAGCAGCTGATATGTCACTGAAATCCATCTAGGCTGATGACATTTTGTTGATAACATACAAAAATGCCCAAGTTAGATACAACTGATGGCGACATGTTTAAGTTTTTATAACCTAGTATGGCTAGCTGGGTCCAATAACATCCTTCTCTGGAAAAAGGAAGCATAGTAGGTGCCTTCCTCTGCTGTGGCACCTAGGTGCCCCACGAGGCACTCCTCTGCTGTTGTACCGGTCAGCCGCTGGCCATGCCAAGTGATACTTACAACTGCCTGCCTGGTGGATGGAGGTTTTATTACTGAGCCAATCCATCGTGCCTGACTCCTGAACTCTCGGAAATTTGCTCCCACATAAGCTCTCCTCTCAGACTCTCCTGGAAGAGTCATGCAAAGGCCTCTCCAAACCTCAAGAACAAAGATGGCTCAGCAACTTCTCAGCTGCTTATGATATAGTTCAGCTGGTGCTTCTCATTTTGCCAAACACACAGAAATGCCCAGAACAGAGCCAGCTATGACACAAGCTGAGATCCCCACACATTTCCACCGGTCATGCTCTGCAGTCCTACAAAGCTCTCTGCCACTCTCAAGCCCTCATTCTGGGAAAACACATGAGTTAACTCCCAGCACTTTTTCCTCTATGTCTTCAATAATCGTATATATTCCTAGTATTTAATATATATTTGACTTTATTGCTTAAAAAATTTAAAAATCCTTTCTTGAAAGGCTGAAATCATTTTATTTGGGTATTCTGAAACTTCTGATGAGCAGTACTCTCAGACTGAACATTTCTGTAACAATAGTTCATCCCAATAAATAGTACAATTGAGCCTCGAATAAAAGCAGGTTTTGTGATCCTTTCCCACCAGCACAAACTCTAAGATTAGACCACAATGAAAATCTGAGCAGACTTAGTAAGGAGACTGGAGAAGGAGTAACAAAAATTTGACAATAAAAAGCCATGGAAAAGATTATTTTACCAGTGAATTCTACCAAACATTCAAAGAAGATTTACCACTAGTCATTATCAAGTATTTCCAAAAAGTAGAGAAGGAAATATCCCCCAACTCACACTATACGGCCAGCCTTACTTTGATACTGAAGTCAGACAAAGGCGCTGCAAGGAAAGAAAACTGCAGCCCACATCCTGTATGAACAGTGATGCCAAAATCCTTGGAAAATACTAGCGAACTGAATTCAGCAACTGAGTGCTACATTTCATCTGGGATTCATGAGTGGTTCAACATATAAAATCTGATTGATATAACAAACCATATTAACACAACGAAGGGAAAAACCACACAATCATCTTGGTTGACACAGAAAAAGCATTTGACAAAATTCAACACCATTTCATCATTAAAAAACACTCAAAAAACTAGGAATTGTAGAAAACTATCTTAACATAATAGAAATGTTATGAAAAATCTACAGCAAACATCATACTCAATGATGAAACATTATAAACATTTATATCAATATCAGGTCACCTGCTTCTGCCACCTTTATCCAAAAGAAAACTAGCCAGAGCAATTAGGCAAGAAAATAAATAGAAGAAAAATGAAAAGAAGGAATGAAATTCTGATACAAGCTACAATATGAATAAACCTTGAAGACATCGTGCTGAGTGAAATAAGCCAGAAACAAAAGGACAGATGGAGTCTTTCCACTTACGTGAAAACTCTGCAGCTCTGGGAGTAACCTCATCACATAAAAGATCTCCAAAACACTAACAGTTTAGAAAAAATCCTCAAGATCAATTTCTCTTCAAATTGGCCATATTTTTAAAGCATATGCACAATAAAGAATTCTTCTGAAATGTTTATAAATAGAACCAAAAAAAAAGAAAAGGTTTATCAAAAATCTAACAACTACGCAATATATTTAACTCCTACTATTACAAGTTACTAAATATATTTTATATAAATGAATTTCGAAAAGTACAGATAGAAATTATAAAATTTAATACAACAACCTATACAAATCAGTTAAAATGCACTCAGAAAATATAATTTATTTCACTTAAGTATTAAATTATTTTTAAATAAAAATTTAAAAATATGTTTTGGTTCCTGATTTCAAGGAATAAAGAAATTCCTTAAAAAGTAATTTAAAAATTTACAGTCATGTTTCACTGACCTTAATTTTAAGACAACATCAAAATCAATTGCCTAAAGTTTCTGATGTAGCAATAAAGGAAAAAGAACGTTGTGTGTGGTGTGTGCGTGTAATGCACATTGTGTGGCCTGTGAATGTGTGCAGTGTGTGTATTGTGGCATGTGTGTGGTATGTGTATAGTGAGTATGGTGTGTGGTGTGGATGTGTGGATGTGTGGCTTATACACCCTAAGATATAAACAATGCTGGAAATTAATTTTAATAGTGTTTTGTTTGTTTGTTCTTTTGGTGCTGGGGCTTAAACTCAGGACCTTACCCTTGTGAGGCAAGCAGCGGAACCACTAAACTAAATTCCGGGCCCTAGTTTAAATAGCGTTTTAAATTAACTTGTCCTCAAAACAACAACACAATTTTAATAACACAGCTTCCTATAAAATATAAACATAATTTAGTAATCTGTATGGTGAGCTAAGAATGAGAGCCATAAATAAGATAAAGATGATCTAATAATTTCACACTAGATTTGATCTTTATGTAAAATCATCTTAAAAAGATTTCTGCTACCAAATGTAAAAATGGAAAGTATTACTTCGTGTGAATGTAGTTCTAAAGGTTGTTCAAGCTCAACCAACTCAGTTGAGATAGCCATAAATCATATTTTATTCTATTTTAAAATGAGAGGTTAATCAGAAAATGCTTTTAATTTTAAGGAAAACATAGTAAACAAAGGGAATTCGACATTATTCTAACACTTATTTTTCCTATAGAAATCCTTAAACTTACTCCTTTTTGTAGATTAATATGCCATCTAGAGGAGAAAGCATGATGAACAAACACGCCGTCACAGTTTTGGCTTTTTCCCGGAATATCTGCATCCCAGACTCAGCACCATAGGAGAGGACATCGCAGAGGACAATAAAGCAGCACAAGGCGAAGACCACAACTTCGGTGGAGCTGGCCAGGGACTAAGATGCCTTTAACTCCGGTGGGAAGACACTTGGAGGGAGAGAGCCGGGCCACACAGGGTTTCTACTTTTGGTTGTTTGGGGATCTCCACACTGATTTCCGTAGCGGCTCTAGTTTCAGTACCAACAACACAAACAGGTTCCTCTCCCCCGCAGCCTCGCCAGCACTTCTTTTCTCTTCCGCAACACAAGCTGACCACGGTCCCACGGGGAACTGCAGGGAAGGTTAAGTGTGAAAGCGCACACAGGGGCCCCCGAAGGAGTGGTGGGTGACGCTCTCCCCGCAGGCAGCTCTCCTGCCATCTCCAGCCCCGGTCCGCCCTGCCTGACCCGGAGACCCTGGCGGGCTGGTTCCCCGCGGTGCCTGCTGTGAGCCTTCCCACCAGAACCGGTTCGCGCTAATGAAACAACGCAGTGTCATATAAAATGTGATTCCGACATGTTTCTCCTCTAACTCGTGGCTCTCTAGTTATCACTTCAGCCCACATTCGCCACATCCAACCTTCTACACCTGTGCGACGGTCTATGCAGAAAAAGGGTCAGAGCGGAAGGCCGTCCTGGCTCTTGGCAAGAGAACCAGGTCCTCCCCAGAGCACTGCAGCAGGAGTCCTCTCGGGTGCCTGCCATGCGGTGAGCAGTGTCTCTGCAAGGGCAGCCAGGCGGCTGTGCAGCCCCTGGGGCACCAGCGTGGAAGGGAGAGGGTTACAGCCCCTTCCACCTGCTTCTGGGCCCCTCTCCATCCCAGTCCCGGGACAGCGCTTTGACTAAGACCCTGTCTCCATCTGGACAGGCCAGCGCTTCCGCTTCCGACGCGCGGGGCCCAAGCTGGAGCCTCTCCCCCTGCGCGCTGCCGACTGCTGCTCCGGTACCTGAGCGTCGCGATTCTCCACTCTCCACGCACACCCATTCCTCGAGACAGAGCAAACGCACCCTACAGCCACCCACGACTCCACCCTAAATTCACCAGTACTGGACGTCCTTCTACCTCGCTGATCCTTTCTGCCTCCTGAGCTCCAATCTGCTCTAGGTGTTTTAGCAGTAATTTGGGACAGAAACGGGTGGGGAGGTGCAGAAGGGTCCTAAACATCCGGGTAAAACGAAACGAGGTGACTCAGGCAACTGCACCAGTTCCAGAGGTGAGGACGACAGAAAAGCCCCAAAGGTGTCTCTCCTACCAGTCGTGCCGTGGACCTCGGAGCCCAGGCTAGGGTAAGAGGGCTGCGGGGGAAAACAGTGACGAACGAGGGAGGGTACGGGGTGAGCAGGGGAAGTCCTGAGCCGTATCCGAGGAAGGCAAGCGCTAGGGCCGCAGACGCCAGCTCCAGGCCTGTTCTCCACAAACCCACATCATCCCTTCCCTGTTTTCACCGCGCGTATCCTCAACTTACACAGTCACTCACCAGACCCTCACTACAAATGCTACCTCCTCTGTGGTCTGATTTCCTCAGAACATCCCGGCCGCTGCTACTGACATTTCACACAAGGAAACAGCAGAACACGACGAGCGAGCTGCAGCCCCAGCCTCGCAGGTAAGGTTAACACAGGGCCCGAACGTCAGCGAGGGTAAGGTTCCAACTTCTAGGCTCCTCCCGCTCTACTACTCAAGTGACTAGCGGTACCGGGGTGGGGCTGGCTTGCGGTACCCGGGTGAGGCTGGCCTGCTGCCCTGCAGGACTTACCTTTGAAAGCCTGCACCTTGTCTTCCTGGCACTAAAAATGAGTGTGGCATCCGTGTGAAGTAGTTTTTATTTCTTCGTTTGCATCTCATAAGGATTCTTCTAGATAACTAATCGCTTAGTACTTGATTAATGTATCATTATATTTCATACTAACAGAAGTAAAAATGAGGTGTGCCAATCGTAAGTCCACAGTCACACCCCAAAAAATTATTTGGCCCCTTTGACAACTTGTGTCCTGAAGTAAGACTATAAACATAAATCACAGCTGCAAAACCCATAATTTGGGCCTGTCCAAGCTAGAAATGATATTTAGGGTGAATTGTTTTTTATTTCACATCTGGGTATAAAGATAAAATCGTTATGAAGGTCACATTCTATAAAGCCAGGGAGCGGTGCTTCAATGTAGAAATAAAATATGCCGCAGCCACTGGGAACCTTATTTATACTGCAGACGCCAGCGCCTGTAACAGAGCACTGATCATCATTACACAGGTTGTATCCTAAAGTCCGTGTCAGCGCGGAGGCTGAAACCAATTCGGGACAAAATAGGAAACCTTGAAATTACTGAAACCCTCAAACGTCCCCGACGTTTCGAGGCGCACCGTAAAACAGCACCAGCTTCCCTCAGTCCCAAGCTGGACTGGTTTCCCTCCCGCAGACTCAGTTCTCCGTGCAAGCCGCTCTGCACAGCGAGACCACAGCAGCGCGCGCCGATGGGGCTACGGACGGCGCAGCTCACACCCGCTGGCACTGCTCCCGGGGCTTGCTACTCATTGTGACTTTTCACCTGCACCCAGGTTCTCTAAGCAGCGAGGACGCTCTGCCAGGCTGCAGTGCAGGGCGCGGCCAGGCGCGGGGCTCGGGACACCGCCGGATCGGTGTCGGGGAGAGCGGCTGCCTTACCTCCGTCCACCGACGCCTCGCTGCTGTACCCGTCGTACTCCGCGGACAGCGGGCTGTACTTCTGTCTGGTCTCCCAGGCGTAGTGCTTCTGCCTGGAGTCCACCAGCGGCAGTCTAGAAAGGTGTGTTCTGGACAAGGCCTGGTGATATTTACCCAGTGCGTCATCTTCGCTCTCAGAGGACGAACCGTGCTCATCTCTGTCCATGTAGGAGTTGTCTGTTTGGGATGACAGAAAGAGGAAACGATCATTCCACAGCGCGGAAGTCTGATGTCAAAGTTATACTCACAAACAGGCGCGCACACACACGCACACACACACACACACACACGAGCTATACATTTGTACGTCAGCAGATAGGGTGGAGCCAATTAGAGTTGAAATAATACTTGAAACTACTGAAATCCTTGAAAATCCCCAAGTTGCCTTCAAAGCGCAGTATAATATTCATTTTTACACACACACACACACACACACACACACACACACATATGCACACCAAAGCTGGATTTTTCTAGAGAAATATAATCTTTTCATGCAAGAAGTACAAGCTTTAGGTTTCTGTTTTAATACAAAAATCAATTTAGATATTTTAATTAAATAATCCTAAATCACAAGATTTTTTCAGTCTTGTTACATATAATGGAAATTACAGTGCTTGCCATTTTACACAATTTTTTTAAAGTTATAAGTACTTCCAGTACCTTATTCAAATAATTCATGTTACAAGATACATTTTTTTTATTTTCACTTTAGCCAGTATTTTCAAAATTGGCAATGCTCAGTTCTAACAGTGAAACAGAAAATTGGGATGACAAAACCACTGGAGGAACAATATTAGAGAACGAGACTGCAAATCATTCCTAACTGAAATCTGTAAAACCTGGGAGCCATTTCTAGTATTCAGGCTCAGGAAATAATTGGCAGGTGAACAAAGAAACATGTTTGAGACAATTTACCCCATTATACATAGAAAAAGAAAACCACAATAATACATAGCAAACACATGCATCACTAGGCCCCGGTTAAATAAATTCTAATCTATGCAATGACACAAAGTCCTTTAAAATGAGGCAGTAAACTCACAAGCACAGCAAGAATAGTTACAATGTCATGTGGCAAGAAAAGAGAAAAATTACAAGAGCAGTTGTAAGTGATCCCTGTTCGGGGATTCTGCACACACTCCTGCAGCACACACACAGACACGCAGGTCCAAAGTGCCACGAGGGGTACGTGCCAAACCGCTAACGACCACGACCTGTAACGGGTGAGATTAGTGGAAGTTTTTACTGAAATATAAATAAATTTCCAACAATTTTTTCAGATATATAAAATGTAGAACTTTGCCCTCAAAAATTCCCCCGGGCAGCACTGAGAAGAAGGCAGAGTCAGTGGGTCTAGAGCCAAGGCGCCAGCGCCCCTTCCAGAGAGCACAACTGCGGGCGACCCTGCACCCAGAGGTCAGTGACCGGGCCAGCGCTGCACTCAGCAGCAGAGGGGTGGGCTGATGGCACACCTGCGGTCCTGGGTCCCTGGGAGGCTGAGGCAGGAGGACCACAAGTCTAAGCCCCGCCCGGCCAACTTAGTGACTTAAACAGGGTCTCCCTGATTTAAAATGAAAATTTTTAAAAAATGAATGCAAGCATTGCGTATGGCAAAAAAGTACTAATAAAATTTTTTAATTAAAAAAACAAAAGAAGTCCTGGGGATATTGCTCAGGGTGAAGGCTCTGAACTCAATCCCCAATACAGAAAAAAAAGAAAAAGAAAAGCAATAGGTAAGAAAACTTTCTCTTCTTTCTATGCCTCACAACTCTACACGAGAACCTAGAACGCACGCACAACCCACGTACCACTGTCTACCAGCTAATGCAGGGCTGACCTGTGGGTCAGAAAACTCGATGACCTTGGGGCAAAGCGCGTTTCAGGTGGCGCTGACTACATTTCCAAGTACTCAAGAGTTTCTTTCAGTAGCAGTGTGTTGCTTAATCAGCGGACTGCCAGTGTCCATCCTGTTAATTTCTGGCAACATTTTTTTTAATCTTTTTTTTTTTTTTTTTGGTACCCGTGATCGAACTCGGGACCTTGCGCTTTTGAGGCAGGCAGCAGAACCACTGAGCTAAATCCCCGGCCCTATCCTGTTATTTTCTGAATAAAACAATATGTACACTATTTTTACTTTCATACGCTCTGCTTTTGCTCTTAATTACTTGTTTATTTTTGCTATTTCCCATAATAAGGCCACCAGAACTACACCAGGGCTACTAAAAGCCACTGAATCTGACATTCAAAAACTGCCATAAGAACAGATTGTCAAATGGATATTTTACAGAATCGCCATTCCTTTCTAATTAGTCACTCATCCTCTCCTATGCCATTTAAAAACTATTCACATGATCAGATCAATAAGTAGCTAAGCCTATTATATGTCATGTAGCAGAACTGAAAAAAAGTTTACCTGGTTTCTATAGCTACTCGGTTATTTATTTAGAGGCAGGGTCTCACTTTGTAGTTCAGGCTGGCACCAAACTCACTATGTATCTTGGGCTGGCCTTGACCTCGTGGTGATTCTCCTGCCTCAGCCTCCCAAGTGCTGGGATTATGGGCATGTGTTACCATGCCCAGCTTTTTTGTTTGTTTGTTTGCTTTGTTTTGTTTTTTGTTTTATAAGAACCTGAAATGACAGAAAAATTCCACATATATATTTTATAAACACAAGCCAGTGTACCTTTGGCCTTGCAATAGATCAGACACAAATGGAAATGACTAAGGGCCATTTGAAGTAATTCCTAGCAGTATGAACTGCAATAATGTATGTAAAACTATCATAAATATTGTGGTTGAGTGCTATAAATGTTTATTCAGAATCTTAACTGTAAATAAAGAAACTCATGAATAATAATATGCTATTCACGTGTATTCATTGTGAACCACAAGAGTCATATAAAGTTTCAGTGCGTGGTTAAATGAATAAAGACATATCCTGAAGCACATTATTAAATAAGATTTACTGCTCTCAAGGAAAAATACAAAACAGATTTATATCAGGGCAGATTTGAAGAGCAGTGTTGTATAAAGGACTTAGAAGTTAGTTATAAAGATGCAAAGTTTAACATGCACGTATGTGGCATACCAAACAAACTCCAGTTGAAGTATGCACACTACTTAAGAAAACCAGAGTTTCTGCTTGTAAAATAAATGCTCATCAAGAAAAATCATGGATGCTGGAAAATTAGCCAAACAATGCAAAGAGTGCGGGCAAAACTAAGTGACACCTAAATAATGGTCCTGAAAATATTTGGAAAAAAAAAACTGAAAGGCTTTTAAAAATTTCCCAATAAGATGATTCAAGACAATCTCAGGTTCGATACAGAGATAAGGATAGGAAAGTTGAGAAATTCGGGCTTAGTTTTCTTAAGTTAAAAAAATCAGAAGAAAATGCAGTCATTCAAACAGACATTAGGAGACCTCACCTTTTTCTGGGATTATCTTAGAATACTTTGCAACTTTACTCTGTGCTGTCCCTTTCTCGGTGACACTGGCTTCGTTTTTGTTTGTTTGTTTGTCTCTTCTCACTTGGTGGGATGTTGTTGGATTTGTTTGTCCTTTGGTTTTCCCAGGAAACTTCTCTTTAGAATTAGCTGATGGTGCTGGGGATACATCTTCCTTCACAATGGATTTCTGTAGCCTGTTTCTCTGGCTTGTCAAGACACCTTTTGGAGAACACTCATTTCCTGAACCCATTTCACTCCCTTTAGATCCCTTACTTGTGATTTGTTTTTCAGCTTTCTTTAAATGATCAGAATGCCCTACATCAAGATTTTTATTTTTGTTGAAATGCCCCATTTTCTCCTCATCTCCTACCACAAGCACAGGTTGAGATTCTATTTTAGGATTATCTGTTGCAATGCATTTCTTTTGCTCATACACAATGTTTTTTCCGTCGGAGGTATTCACGTTGCTTTTCATTCCCTGGTATCTTGCCTCCTTTACTTCGTTTCTACCATTACTGTGGATTCCCGAGCCAATTATTTTACCCCTGTCAGTACTTTCAAGGTCATGACCAGCTGGTCCAGCCCGTGGCTTCTGTTTGCTTCTTGCTATCCCACTATTACTCCTGCGGCTTTTCACAGGAGAATCACCAGCATTAGCGGTTTCTTGGAGTTCCGACAGAGCCTGTGGCCCGTCAGGAGCATGTGTAAGCAGCCTCTCTTCACCCGACCCTCGTTGTTGCTTTTGTGAAGCTGGTGTACTGTAACAGTTTACTGCCTTTGCTCTGTGTCCTCCCTGGGGCTGCGTTTCCTGATCAGAGGTGTTTCCGGAGACATCCGGTAACCGGGCATCCTTTAACGCAGAAGAGTCCGCAGCCCCTTCCGCTGCCGCGCCGTCCTCTGCGCGAAGGCCGCTGACCAGACTCGTCACCTGCTCGGCCACTGAGTCCGTGAAGGCGTAGCCGGCCTCCCCAACGGCGGTGGCCAGGTCTCCCACGGCACTGCCGATTGTGTCCACCAGGGAGGACACTGAAGGCAGATTCTGCTGAAAATTTCTGAAAAATGCCATTTTCTATTTCCTTGTTCCTAAAAGATGTGATAACCAAATTTTCTTTTCTCAAAAATATCATTTACTTCGGAACTAGGATTCAACATTTACTTAAACGTTACTACTCAATAGCTCAATACTAGTACTTCACACTGTGGCTTTTAATCTCTGTAAATACAACATGTATTGAGAGCAACACGTTGAAGAAAAGACTCTTCCACAAAAAAATTAAAAATCAAACCACTTGGCTTAAGTGTAACAATACTTTTCCCATTGTACAGCTATCGTAACAGCGGCAAGACAGCATTCTCCCCTCAAATACTACTGGTTTTTATTCTATACCTGAAAGAAGAAGTATAAAAAAGGAGTTTTACTAAGTACTTTGGCTTATTAATATTTGATATAAGGAACTACCCTATTAAACTACCAACACCATTTCAGATGAAGAAAAACATCAAAGGGAAAGCAGCTGAACAATCCTGCACAGAGGTAAAAACAGCGGGAGGGCAGGTGCGCTGCTCTGCAGGAGGCACGGGCAGGCATTACACCCACGTAGTCTCTCCCGATTTGGTAGTAACTACAGGGCAAACGCTGTTCCTATTTAGTAAATGAAAGGAAACAAGACTCAAAAGCAAATGGCTTCCCAAGGTCACCCTAGCTTTACAGGAACACGAAGGGGAGAGGCCAACTTGTCCCGGCCCATTGCTCCCCAGAGGACACTGGGGTTTTCCAGACGGGAACGGGAGACACCAGCACCCTCCTCTGCCCGTCATCAGAGACTCGTAAAACTATCAACAATGTCACGCTTCTCTCCAACTGTTTTCGTTTTAAAAAATACATTTCTTAAATTTTAAAATGTTATTTATAGTAATATGTGACAGCCTTGTTAGTTTTTAAAAAATAAATTTATAAAAATATTTAAAATCTTTCTGTTAGAACTTCTAACATGGTACATAATAATAGACATAACCCACACAAACAAATTAGCTTTGTTTTGTTTTTTGCAGTACCGGGGATCAAACTCAGGACTTTGGGCTTGCAAAGCAGCTGCGGTGCCACTGAGCTAAAGCCCCAGCCCAACAAACGTGATTTTTAAGAGTGTAACGATGTAATCAGACCAAAGAAAAACCAGGAATTCTGACCCCAGAGAGTTACTGCAGGCTGCTGACAGAGGGATCTTTATTTCATTCCATACAAATTATCCACGCACAACACTGGAGCCGAGCGTGACCGGAAAGTACTGCCCTTCCTGACGCAAAAGTTAGAAAACATAACTTACAACAGGTTTGAATAAGCGATGGGGCTGTTGCCTTTTAAATTTTCAGAAAGGAGAAAAAAGCATTTCTCCAGTATATGTACATAGGCTGAAAGCAAGGTTTCTCTGCTGTTATTCCTCAAAACTTTTCTAAATCAATACCTTGCTTCTGTAACTTACAAATTATTGCTGTTATCATTTATATAAGACAGACTTTGGAAATAGCAAATTATTAAAAACAAACATTTTGTGTCAGAAAGAACAATATCATAGCCCTCATCTTTCCTAATTTTTAGTAATACTAAAGTTTAATACTAAATAATGTTTAAAATGAAATAATAATTTAGTAATGCTAAGTAATGACTATGGTACCAAGGGAAGGAATAGAACACTGCTCTTAGAATTTACAAGGGGTGATCAAAAATACAGTAAATGTTTAAATTTTTTGAAATTTTTACAGTAAAAGGCAATGCCATGAATCCCTCTCAAACTACGCGCCCTCAGGTCAGGTGCTTGGATGTCATCTCCTGGACCACATTCGGAAGCACTCTGGGAATCTCTCTGCGACCTGACGGTGAATGCTGCTGCCCAGCCACCGATGGGAGGCCGGGTCTCTCCACACGGTGTGGTTCTCACCCGCCAGTCACCTCATCGGGCACCGTGAAAGGAGACATTTTCAATCTATTCAGGACATCAGTGCAACTCAAAGCGCTCATGAAAGAGGACGTCCAGACTGCTTCAGGGTGTGGCAAGGTGAGGGCAGAGGTTCACAGCCAGGGCGAGCGCTCTGAAGGGATTAATGCACTGTGTCTTCCACGGTAGTCATGTTTAAAACTTAAACATTCGTCAGACATTTCGATCACACCTCATACGTATGCACTAAGTGGCCAGGAAAAGCCCTCTTACCTGAGCAGTACAACTGTCCATCGGCTCAGAATTGAACAGAGCCCACAGCAATGGCTAAGCAGGTCAGACCCAGGGGGCGAGGCCCAGCACACAGGCGTGCGTCTCAGATGCACAAGTGCCGAGACGCCTGTGCCTGTGTATGGTCTCGAAACACACTTAGCAGTGAAGAACAAGATTACTCTATGGCCGCAGACACGTCACCTCGGTGTGATGCCTGAGCAGGCAGGAGCGGCAGAGGACGTGTGAACGTACTTTATTTAATAGATCTGCTGCCCTTCCACAGTGACGGCTCAGACATGAGGCAGCACCCGGCAAATCCAGTCTTTTCTTGTATATATAAAAGCAAAGAACAGTTCGGGTGAAAAGGGAAGAAGCAACACGATACTTACACATTTTATCTTGTGAATTCTTCCTTGTATCGTATCCTGATCCAAGATCTGGAAACCCGCCAACATTTTCAAAACAGAACTTCTTATTAATATAGAGAAAAAGGAGCAGCATCAAGATAATAAACACCCCAACAGCTGACAAAAATCCAACTGCCTCTGGAGATACTAGAGAAAAAAAAGTCACAGCTGTAAGCATTCATTATTCCTAAGGCTACGAATAAGAAGGAAACCCTCATACGTAAGTTAAATAACTGCCTCATTTGAATTAATTTTAAATTGTCATAGTCTAAAATACTTCATAAGAGAAACACTGCAGTGACATTTCGATACATTCAACTGTTCTAAGTTTCTCAATGAATTATGTTGAAATAATTTTTGTAAAGCTTTCTCCAAAATAGGCAGTTAATAAATAGGTAATACACTGAAGAATATTACAAAAAATTTTAACACAAATTAGAAAAGTATTTCTCACGTCTAAGAATTATCGATTCATAAGAACATGTACTGTCATGCTGCCCCCTGAAAAGCTTCGCGGCCCCTTTCTAGCAAACACACGCTGGACCTCTGCTGGCACTCAGCCCCGCAGCCTCTCTTCAGTAAGTCCGCCAGTCAGACAGCTCTCCACGTCCTTCACAACCACACTCCCTGCCTTTGTTTTTGTTTCGTTCACACTGTGCCCCTTGCGTGGGATGGCCAGCTCTCTCCCACTCCGCCACCCCACTCGTCCCACAGCACGACCACACACCAGGCATGGCCACGCGCACAGCTCCTGTCTCCCCTGGACGGGATGGCGCAGGCCGTTTCCGTGTAACAGTGTCACACAGCGTGTCTGGGGCAGAGCAGAGACCACGGGAGCCACATGAGCCCTGGATCCAGTGTTGCAGCAGCAAACCAGTGTCTCTGAAAGTTACAATCTTGAAACAGTATTTTAAGAACCAATAAGAATTAGACATGTTAACATTATTCCAAGCAGGGGAAACACTGGATGTGAAGTCCCAGAGCTGGGGATCACTGTATATCTCAGAAACGGAATGCAATTTGTTCTAATGAGCTATCAAATCCTCAAAAGAATTGGCTCTCAAGAGAACGCATGAAACACCCAGGGAGATTTTACAGAGTGAGAACAAATAAAATCCTCTCCAATTTCTCCAATCCCCACCAATCTCTCTTCCCTGTCAGCTTCCACACTGTTTATTTGTCTCTCACTGCACAGGTCATCTGGAGTTCACACGAACTAAAATTCTGTACACCAAGTCCCTTGAGTGTGAGTTCAGAATGAACTGGAGGCCTCAAATATCCCCACAGACTACAACCTACTCCTTTCCATCAGCTAAGCAGCACCTGACATGCTAACTCCTCCAAGATTCCTCCATGAACAGAAGAGCCACAGTAATCCACACTAATTCCTTTGTTATACATGAAGTCACTGACTGGTCAGTGAGTGCCCGGGTCTCCCGGCTTTCATCATTTGCAGAAGCTGGGTCAACAGCGTTGCAGTAGAAGATGACGCAAGGATGCCCCCGATGTGAGGGAGGAGTGATGAGTTTGGGGTGGGGTGGACGCCAGGCCAGTGCCAAGGGGCAGATCTCGTTACCAGAACTGGGAAATTACATCCAGACACCAGCCCTGTCGGTCTTGGTCTCGGGCTGGGAACACAGCCTGGGAAGAAAACAGTATTTCAACAAAACAAGCCACATATGTAACATAAAAACAGTGGCATGCATGAACCTTGAAGAACGAGACCAAAGTGAAGACAGAGTTGCCACCAACATTTCTGAGAGTTTCCTAAGCAGCGCAGAACCTGCTATGAAGATGCAAAAAAGAACGCACTTCACCATAGGCAACAAGTGATACAGATCTTTTCCTCCGGCCAAGGCCCAAAGCACACCCCGAAACACAATGCCTGAAGTGGCTACACGGGATTAGATAGATATTATGCAGCCTGAAAATCTTGCACTTCTTGAAAAACTAAGAAAACCCAACTCACGTTAAGAAAGCCAGGAGCTGCTAATAGGAATCATCCCAGCACTCTGGGAGGCTGAGGCAGAAGGACTGCATGATCAAGCCCAGCCTAGGCAACTTGGGGGTTTAGCAAGACCGTGTCTCAAAAACAAACAAATGAACAAACACATCAATCTATCTAACGGTGTTCCATAGAACAGTAAGCTCACTCGGAGGTATACGACACTACTCAATTCCCAAAATCTTCTGCAAAAGGAAAAAAGGGCACAAGTTACAGTATTTCACCGGAAAACACAAAGTTGTTTGTCCAAGAAGAATGATTGTTATGTACGCTAAACTGGTTTTGATACTTATCTTTATATTCAGAAATGAATATGTGTATTTACAAAAACAAAAAAAAGTGTGTTTACAAAAACAAACTTTAAAAAAATACTACTTTTTGTCATAATTCAACCTTCAGTAATAGTGGTAAAATTTATCTTAATT